ACCCCAGCCTCTCCCCTCCTCCACCCCCTCCCCTCCCCCTCCCCAAATGCGTCCGCTCTTTTACCACATTGTCCGATGGGCGAGTTGTAAAATCTGTGATATCATCTACGCGCCCGGTCCTTTCCCTCTTTATCACGGGTTTGGGCAATTGCGTTTGCTCTTCCAGTGGCAGACTTCCCAATGAGTCCAGAATTCTGCATGGGGAAAACATAGCTCTCACCCAGAAACTGACAGTGCTCGCTAAGGCCTCAGCAGGCATCCGGAACACCTAGGCACTTTGAGCACTTGAATGCATTGCCCAAGCAGGTTTCTTAAACCACGCTTTTGCCCTGTAATCTGTTTGTGGTCGAAGTCTCAAAGAATTTCCCCTCTCCCTGGGCTTATATTAGACAGATAAATCGGACGGGCCAATTATAAAAACAATGCGGTGTACTGGTTAGCACAAATAAAAGTGTTGTATTATGTTTTGTACAGAAAGCTAAGTGAATCTTGAATGTAACCCAAGCACATGAACTAGCCCTGTGAAAAATGGAGCATATGGCCGCATCATGAAGTTATTATCTGAAAATTAACGCAAACATTACTCGGCTTCTTGATATAAAAGAGAAACAGCCTAGCAGAAAGTAAGCACAACAAGCAAAACATAACGCTATTTTTTCATCAAATTTTCCCTAGGGAATATAATTTCCGACATTAAGTTAACGCGTTGAAACCCCTTTGGAAGTAAACTCGTGATATAAGGCGTTAGCAGAACGGTCTTTCCAAAATTATAGAAAGAAAATGCATCGAATTTGCCCACGGTCGTTAGCACGGTTTGGATTTGTCTACACCCTTTGACCTCGTTTTCAGGCGCAGTCTGTACTAGTGCGTTATAAATTTGCCACATTTAGATGAAAAAAGAACAGTTAAATATATAGCTCTATGGAGAGGAAACGTAATATTGTAGTATGCTATTTGTTTAGGAAATTGTCACTACGCTGGAGCAGCAGCAAGGAGAAAATAATTCAAGCTTCCAAGAAGGAAAACATTGGGTGACGTTGTCGTCTGAAAAGGAGGCCATTGGCTGAGAACAGAAGAGCGAAGGACATTTGTTGTTCGCAGACCACTGTACAACCGGTTTTACATAAAATGGATTTGTTGACGGAGATCATACGCAAAAAGACGAAATCGATGTCCTTTATTCTTTCAAGGACGGATAAAGATTCATTTTAAGTAAATGGGTTCCAATCCCACCGAGTCGCCGAGTTTTTCACAGTTGGGTCAATATGAATTATAAACTTATAACAGTTTTCGGTAATAAAATATAGGATATATTCACGCTATCGGCCACGAACAGTCAAAGTTTCACACGAAACAAGGAAATCGCAGATTCTGGGGTATTTACTACGTTATTCTATGCCTTGGTCGAGGAAATCAAGACACGTCCATTTTTGCAATTGCAAGCACACAGATCTTTCACGACGTCTCAAGCTATACGAACTAGCAATATCCTTTAGAGTTACGGTTATTTACCAGGTCGAACAGCAAGTATTCAATAGGAGCAGTGATAAGACTGGAAGACAAGTTTCTAGTGCAGTACTAGTTCCAACTACATGCACCCAATCCAGGTTAGAGAGGAGTAACGTTTTGGTTCGACGCGGAGGGGAATGGCACTCCGACGCTTTATCCAACGAGCTCATAATTTGTCAGCTGAAATCGAAAGGTTCACAGGAGTTTCCGATTCCGCTTATTTGCCTCTATTACAGGAATGATAACTTACTTCATCCCACACAGGCGAGAAGTGCCTATGCTCACATGCGATTTTCGGTCATTATCATAATGCCGGGAAATTGTGTCGTCGGATTATAGCATGAGTGACTTCCTGCTAGTGTTTATGCGTAAACGCCTATGAGCGGATAGGTACCTGTATTGTTTGAATGTGTGTGAAAGGTGGGGTGATGTAAAGAAGGCCTGGACTGTGCCGTTCTAGCGATCATTATCGTCTGCGCTCATATGATCGAATAGACAAGCAGGTGGCTAGTGGACTGGAAATGTGTGCTCAGGAAAGACGTGCATGCCAAGTGTTGGCTGGAGTACCTGGCACCGGTTCTCCAGTAGCACTACCATGGATTCGTAGGTGGCCGATGCGCGCTTCCGCTGTGAGATTGCAATACGGACCTGTTGGTTGTCTTCTATGTTCTGACGGCATTTCAGCTGCGGCGAAGTCCGAACAGGACAAATCGGGACTGAAATGTGATACTACAGAGGGAGTAGACGGAAACGGTGTCCTCAGTCATACCGGGAGTGGTATTTTGCTATTTGGAAGGGGATTAAGAGTTGGTAGCTCGTATGGGCACTTCTGTTGACAATTTTTCTCCTAAGATAAAACAGAAACGTCCACGTTTGCCCCTGTCGTATGTGATTGCTGTTCTGTTCCATATGGTACCACGTGGAACAGTCTGTTGATGGCCGTCTCGAAAATTGCTGATGGGCGATTAGGGATGCCTCGGAAGAGCTCAACCAGTGCACCAGGGACCGCGATCTCATGAAACGTTGGCTGAAATTCTGAAATGCGTTTTAGATTAGGAAGGATTACTTAGGCGCGGTTGTAATATTGATTATCTTGCGGCATAATCACATGCTATTTTGGACTCGCCGGGATGTCAGCTTTTGAACGCATTACTTTTCAATCTCCTGCAGAAGTCGTACTCGGTACAAAATGGTTACTTAAGTAGCATGCATTTTTCACACTGATTTTCGATGGTTTTGCAAATTCAAATATATTTTATAAAAACCACGAAAAAAATATATTTTTTTCCAATCATTTGACAGAGAATCATGTCATCTTCATACTTTATGCTTGAGTTTTATGGATTTTTTCGAACTTTTTCGCGAATTTTTTCCTAAACCCAAAATTATGTACTCAATTCATTCATGCATTCCTCCGTCGTTTTCCCAGTATGTGTTTATTCGTCAGCATCCAGGGTTATTCAGAGATTCAGATGTATAAAAGGACGAAGACTATGTCAGATTGCAGCATATATTCGTCTGGAGCAGTTTAGATGTGCCGGAAATGACCGAAGTGGGTTCTCGAAGCCGGCTGGAACGGCGTGTCTCAGGCTGTTCTTGCAAAAACTATGGTTCGGGTAAGGAATACAGGGGCGCGAACCAAATTTGGATGTACACGTACAAAGCGAATATAAGAAGCTAGCTCCAAAGTAGGCCGGACCATAGTTTTTTCCAAATTCTTTACTCCCTGAAACGAAAAAGGACATACATGAGAGGAAGAACTTGTACAGACAGAAGTGTGATAGGGGCTGTGGCAGAAATGCCATATTAATAGTTGCTACCACTAATGCAAAGTGGAGAGGATGTGCCTCGTCTTAAAAAATTAAACCAACGTGCCAGCCGACTGTTGAACTGTGACCTTGAGCGATAACGCTAACCAAAAAACGCAAGACAAACCAATAACAGCAGAGAGCATACGAAAGATTTACTGAAGTAGGCAGGTGCGATGCTCGAATCAAGAGGGGGTCAAATTAAGGGGTTAAGAGTGGGGAAAGGACGTAAACTTCGAAAATAGTACACTGACTCCCGTCTAATATTAAAAAGAGACCTCCTTCGAAGAAACAACGGAGATAAAACAAATCGAGGACAAACAAGGCAAGAGAAGGGCAAGGTAGTTCCAGGAAGAATTTTCAATGGTGTAATTAGAGGAGCTGAGAGGCCTGAAGCACACTAAAATGGTATTGAATTATTTGAAATTTTCCGATTTTTCCAGGACGTTGCTGACATATGACCTAAACACTTCCTGACGAAGTTAGAGATAGAAATGTGCACCTTTGGCTTCTCCTGCCTAAGGACTCTCATGGTTACCAAACACCCCATTGAATCTCCCTCCCTGCTGATTTTGCCGAATTAGCTCTTCGTTGGGTTCGAATCGGCTATTCTGCCGAAATGGTAGCCAAGTAGCGGATTCGGGCACAGAGTCGTGCACACTGTCACGCCATGACAAAGACCATTCACTTCTTGTCCATCGGAGGATATACACCTCTTCAGCCTCTCTTAAATTCTTTGACGAACTTCACTTTGGTTGGTGAAATGTCGAGGCATAATTTTAGTAAAGTAATGAAGGAAACAACTTACTGAGGATAGAGTTTTCTAAGTCATCTGTAGAATTTGTTTCCGGAGGTATCCTTTCCAGTTAAGCGCTAAGGTTACCTGAACCAGAATAGTCTACTTTGGAACTAACCCTTCAGGTAGTTTATTAGTGAGGTAAATTGCGTTCTAGACGTCACAAGTTGCGTCCTTTTCTGTTTGATCATCTGAGTAATTGTTTGTGACCTCTTATCTCACATTTTCTGACTAGCTTCGGATTACCCAGAGTTGCGGGTGAAATGGTTCACTCCCGTACTCCTAGATATTGAATGTTAGCGTCTTATGCACTAAACTGCTGAGGTTTTTCAAGGGCAATCTTGGGAGCATATACGAGGCTTGGCGTTTCGAACACTTGGGCACTAGAATCAGGTCGACTGTTGACCGTGTCATCTCCCTATCCCAGCTACTTAGCAACTCACAATTAAGGTGTCCGTTTCTAGGTTACCATTCTGTCTTAAGACGTTCTTCCGTAAAATAAATCAAAGGGTTGTGAACGGCCGCTGTCGACAGAATCAAAGCCGACAAGCCAAATCATGTTAACACAATTGCAGCAGTGGAATTAATCCTTAGTCAGACGAAAGCAACAGAGGAGACTAAGAGCATCATCCTACACCAAGTGTTGTCTCTCCTAATGGCCCACAGGCCGCGGGAAGTGCTTCCCAAGGTCGAGCGTGATGCGCTTAGAATACTCAAGGCCGAACAAGAACTGGCCATCGTGCCAGCGGACAAAGGGCGTGCCACGGTTGTACTGAACAGAATAGAATACCTCCAAAAAGCCAAAAGTTTACTGGAGGACCGACAATTCTATGTCCCATGTGTAACGAACCCTGTAAAAGCGCTGACACGCGAAACTAATGCTACGTTGTTGGCCTCGGAGAACTCAGGTGCAATAACAACGACCGACAGACGAGTGGCGAGACCCCAAGATACGGCTTTGGCCCGATTTTATGGCCTCCATAAGGTGCACAAAGAGGTCATGGTATCTTTCGATGTTACATCCCTTTTTATCTCTATTCCCCAGCACCTGGCGATCGAGGCAGTCGAGCTGCTTCTACAGAGCAAATACGATGAAACGGAGAATCGTCTTGGACACGCCCAAGTCATTCAGCTCCTGAAGTTCTGTCTCAGGACGTACTTCACGTTCGACGGGACAATTTACGAACAGGTGAAGAGCACACCAATGGGTTCGCCGATTTCGGGGTTCATCGCCGGGGCGGTCCTGCAACGGTTAGAGTCGCTGGTCTTCCAACACCACAAACCGAAGTTCTGGGCCCGGTATGTGGATGACACCTTCGTCGTTATCGATCGGGATCAACTGCTGACATTCAAGGAACGTCTGAATGCAGTCTTCCCGGACTTACAATTTACGATGGAGGAGGAAGAGAACAACCAGCTGGCCATTCTGGATGCCCTCGTATGTCACAAAGATCGTGGTGGCCTAAAGACCGAAATGTTCAGGAAAACGACAAGTACACTGCACTATTGAACTTTTACAGCAACCACCCAATCAGCCACAAACGCAGTTGTGTGAGGACGCTCTATCGGCGTGTCGAAACGCACTGCAGTGAGCCCGAAGACAAGATTGCCGAATTAAAATGCCTCCGGCGTGTCGTCAAAGTCAATGGCTACCCGCGCAACTTCGTCGACCGGTGCATACGCAAAAGGGACGAAAGGCCAAATCGCACGGACCCCAGATTTTGGCGGGCGCTTCCGTATGTCAAGAATGTTTCGGAAGCTGTCGGCCGCCTGCACGCGTCACTTGGAGTAAGATTTGCACACAGACCAGAGGTAACCATCAGGCGTCAGGTAATGAAACCGAAAGACCCACTGCCACGGCAAGGAACGTCTTGAGTCGTTTATCGGATCTGGTGCAGTTGCGGACAAAGCAACTACGTCGGAGAAATCGGAATACAACTCCAAACGCGAATGGCCGAACACGCTGCAGAGGTGCGGAGAAATGACACCGGCCCTCAATTTGTGGAGCGTTCGATGAGATTCGGCCACACATTCAAATTTAAGGAGGCCGAAATTCTCGCAAGAGGTGACAACCGCGGGAGCCGCGAGCTGCTTGAGTCATGGTTCACTGGCTCCCAGTCCATTAACAAGTGCAACGACCTTCCCGTCCCATATTTGGTGCCGAGACTTCGCCTAGGCGGAGTAATTGGCCACGCGGGAGCGCAGGTTTGAACGCTCGTCCCAACGCCAGGATCTGCGGGTCAGATGGTCGAGCTATGATCACACCAACATCTAACACACGTGATGAAATTGCAGCATTTGGCGGCGCAGATACAGGCCATTAAACAGTCATCACACCAAGTGCTACGATCCCTGACGAAGGGGGAGAATCGTGAATAGGTATGCGGTAGTATCCTATAGATTCTGCAGCCCCTTTTGTATGAACCACCTGTATATGCTTTTGCCTCTGATGATGCGTTCGAGCAGGAATCCGAAACGTCAGGTGAATAAAACTCTTGTCCGAGCGATCGCGTCTCCTTCATGTAACCTCGGACACTCGGAAGCATGTGAGGATTTCGTGTGTATATGGGTACAGACTCTCAGTCGATGACCGACTGGTTACCCGACATTTGAAGAGCGATGTCCCAGGCTAAACGGAGGGCTGCGTCTCACCCTTCTGGGCTTTAAGTATTGTGGGCGTGTGCTATGCCATTATCAGCAAACCATGGCCCTCACAGCCTGGTGTGCGCTGACAGTTTTTAGGCTCCTAGTTCCCTGCCAGCAGACTGGTTTGCACTCCCTCCAGGCAAACAGACCGTGAGCATGGTTACTCAGCCGCTTGTATCACCCTCTCCTCTTTCTGACCCATTTTTGTTGTTGGTTAAAATTCTGGCCAAGTGTTTGTTGTGGACCAGGGGTGTGGTGGTAAGACTAGGCGGGGATTGGCCATTCCAACCACCTGCAACCTCTCCTTACTTCAGTTTTCCTGACTATATCTTGACACCGAACCCAGGTTGGAGAGAGGAAAGAGTGCGGTAGATGCTGCGCAAATCCACTCTCACTATTAACTAATTCGCTCGCAAGTCACCGTGCCTGCTTCGCCTTGCTGTGAAGCGCACGGCAAGATGCCCACAGACGCGACAGTCGAACTGTCAAATGCCCTTCTACCCGAATACTGAACCCATCACAGTCATCTTCAGACCCCAGCGCACGTTCGAAAGCTCAGCCACATTAACAAATGGCTTCGCTGGGAATGAATTTCTCTCTTTCTCACTTTTGATGGGCACTCGAATAGCCTCCCCATGGATATTGTAGAACTTGCTTAATAGACCTTAATAATTCAGGTCCATCTGATTTGTCGAAATACTTAATATTGTTTTCGCATCCGAGCAAAAATGAAAGCATCATCAAAGGTCGCACAGGTCCTTATCGACAGGCGCTAACGGCGTAAATCACCACGGCAGACGAAAATGTAAGTCAGCTGGGAGCCCCGTACGCTGACCCAAAATGTATGCAATATGAGTCCGTATTTTTAAAGCGATCTACAAAGGGCACATACTTTCTTAAAGCAAGATGTCGCAGTCCACAGAAATCGAAATATTCAAGGTGACTGTCCGGCACGCATTTTTAAATTTTAATTGGAGAACTTAATTATATTAAATTCCTCGATTGTGATCGTTTACTTCTCAGACATCTTCTTCTCTCTTTTTCCTCTGGAAATGTGGAGCTTACGTAATAACTGATTACTACACCACCCTTCAAGTTTATAACTGTGATTAACGCAAGCTCAAATTATAAAAAGACCAAATAAACCAGATTAAAGAACATCTTCAAAGTAAAGACACGAAATCAGCAAGGCTTAGTAGATTGATTTGAATCATTTCAATACGGGACAAGGACAGTTCAAGCTTTATTTTTACTATCCAAAAGTCTTTTAGATATCGCTTCTGTTATTGCCTTTCCTGTTGCCCGGTGATTCATGAGGGAAAGAGGAGTAAATTCGACAACGAAATTCCTATTTGGGGTAAGGAAGGACAAAATATTCAAGATGTCGCGCAAAATATCCCCACAGAAAATGGCATCCACGAGGCTAAGTTCATCCCATCTGACAAGATCATGTAGCTGCACTGGGGCCATCTTTTTTAAGGTGGACATACATTCGGTGGATCAGAAACCTTTGGGCTAATTGCACACCAATTCTCTACTATAATAACCTTTTGGTCCTTAATTTCGTTATGCCCTGCGGGACATCACTATTTGTTACTTAAGACAGATATAAACAGCAGAATTCATTTGCCCCGACAAATTTCACGACTGCTTAACAGCTGCAACCGTCGCTGTATAACACAGATAACTAATAAGACGCATAAGGCAGGTTTACTTGCACAGAAAATCCGTGCAAAAGAGTAAGGTCATTAGCAGCTCACTAGGAGTGCAACAGGCCAGACGCAGATAGCTCTTTCATGGTCGTCACCGATCATCAGTACGTCATAGGCCATATGAAGTGAGGTATATAAACATGTCAAGCAAGCGTTTGACCCTCACTGTTGTGGTTAAGATCTCACTCGATCCAAATCTGTCCGGCCGCCAGCCTGCTATTGACGAGAACGACCGTTGTTTCATAGGACACATATCACATATAATGCATAAGGTCATTATTCAGTACACTTATACTGGTCAACGAAAATGGTAACTAATAAACGAACTGTAGGAAATAACCGGGGGGAGGTAACACGCAGAAGGGGACGTATAGATCGAGGGACGGGGGGTCATCAGGGCATATGCATGCGTCTGTTACATATGATCGAATTTGGAAGCGATATATATTAGCATTTACGATGTATAAGCGTGATCAGTTTGCTAGGTGGGTCCATTCACTGTTGAAATTCAGATGAGAGCAGCCACCCATTTTTAAGCTAAAGAGAAGTTAAATTTGTAGTTAAAATGCGTTTATTTCGATTTATTGAATTTTGGTACTAGCCGGAATCTTCACCCAAACAGTCCAGTCGACCGAGCAGCGAAATGCTAAATAGGTATAGCAGACTCTCTGGAATAGTTTAATTACCTGTACTTGCATTGGGATTTTTCAGCACCTATTTGGAACCGGTTTTAGTATCAAAAGCGCATGTTCTTTATTAGCTGGTTGGTGAGAAAAGGCACTGTCCTCTATGAACTTAACATCAAATTGAGTGGACTAGGAGCGTTTTCTGGATGGGTCGGGCTCAAAGAATGCTTTAGGTCAAGTCATTTTCTCGTAAACTTTGTAACTTGCTACACATGTAACAAAGTGTATTTGGATCCCAGTAGACTGCTTAAGTTTACAAAAACTTCGAGAAATAATTAACCGGACTTGCCTTTTTACGTAGAGCCAAGTTGGAAACCTCCGATAAGAGGCAGACCGAAGCGAACAGATTCTTTACTGAGTTTGTTCACGAGGGCAAAATAGTAAAAAAATATCCCGATCATCGTCAAGAAGATATGCATGTTGTTCTCCATTATCTGCAGTCTTTTCGATATTCTGACTCAATTTAGATCTGGAGCGAAAGCCCAATTTCGCAAAAATGCGGAGGTTCTAACACCAATAGAGGCTTTATTGGTGATTTATCAATGCTGCGATATTTGTTTTGGATTGAAATAGGAAACCAGAACAATCATTTTTAGTTAGCAACGCAGCGTAAATCAGATTTTCCTTATTATGCGCGAAATTTTATCCTTCGTCCATAGCTGCACATGTGTTTTCCTATAGACTGATGACCCATTCCACGCCAATTTATGGTAAGATGTGGTTATGTAGCCCCACCTGAGGTAAACAGGCCCCAGCCACCTGTAATACGGGACCGGTGGTAATATGGGTTTTTACAGGTGGGGCGGGGAACCCACCGGCGACGAGGTCAAGTAATTGAATGCAAAAGAAAAGCTATTGGGAATACGGGGTTATACTTTGAGTGGTTGAGAAATAGTTGCCCTAAACCCTAACTATAGCCACTAACTCCTAGCCCCGACCCCAACGGTATTGTGTCCTTTAGGCGGGGCAAAATAGCCATATCTTACCCTATTTATAGCAAACGAGGGACGCCATTTGCCAAAGAGGGGGACGAAGTTTCTCAACGTCATCTGAACCCATCTTGTTATTGTGCACAGGGCATAGAAATCTAAGCCCAGAAAGTATTAGACTACGACTGTTGACCTTGTTAATTCACCTTTGCAGCTTCTCGTTGAATGTCGTGGGGTTACTCGCGTTTGTGATCACGTTTTTTTCGCAGGGCAGGGCACCTCAAGTGGGGAACGTTAAACATAATAACATTGCAGATTCAATTCTCTGCACATCAAGGAAATCTCGAGGTACACAGTGTGTTGTACGCGGGGTTAGGCAATCTCCAGTGCCGCCATCAGTGGCTAACAGTTATCTGTATGTAAAACGCGCACACACGGCCCTACCAGCCTTCCGTGCAACCCCAGAACCGTGTTGTTAACACCCATACAGGCACACGCACGAGGCGACGACCGGCAGTAGACTCCGAAAGGCGCTGA